CAAGTTTAGACAAAACGGCTGCATTATGAAAATTGATTTTGCAATTGTTTTAAAATGTATTTCCCAAACTTTAGTACATTATGAATCTATAAGAACTTGTTAAAATGAATGTACATTTACTGCATAACAAAGATCCGTTAAAAGTTGAGCTTTATTCTTATCGGTGCTTCTTAATTATAGATCTACTTCATTAAACATAATTTGTTTTATTTACTTTTCTAAATCATAGTTTATTTACAGTTTATTTGGGGCCCCTTTTCTTTTTTTCTTTAGCTCTTATTGTCTCCATCCAAATGTTTTTGGATGGAGACAAAACACATTTGAACACGTCTTCACTGCAAGTTAATGAAGAACATAAACACTTGTGTCTCCGGTACAGAAACTTGCGGCGCTCCCTGTGTAATCTTCACTGAATCCGATTCCTCGTTCGTTATGTGCACACAGAGGGAAGGAGATGCGGCTAAGCCTTAAAATGATCCACACCTCTATTAGATTTGAAATAATTATCTGTTTTCCAAGAAGTTGGTTGAAGGTTTCTTGGAAGTTGGTGGGAAATGTCTGCATGCGTGCAAACGTGTGTGTGTGTGTGTGTGTGTGTGTGTGTGTGTGTGTGTGTGTGTGTGTGTGTGTGTGTGTGTGTGTGTGTGTGTGTGTGTCTATTATCATCTGCCACATTCCACAGATACTCTGTCTGCCACCTGCTGTCCAAGACACAAAGGAGATTTGATCAAACAGTCAGACGCCGACCTTCTCCTACAGTCGCCACTGAACCCAAACTGACGGCTCCAGTACCGCCTCTCAGGGACAGAGCCTTAAGTTACAAGTTAAACTCTAACATTTTGTTAGATATGGACAAAAAATTAATTTCGGCACATCTGACAAATGCAGGACTTTCCTTCAACTTGAGATCTGGCTCGCTGACCCTTATTCTGACTCTGTTTTGTTCAGCAGTATTTGAATTCTTTCGCCTTTTCTCATGTTTTCATCCAAAAGCGTCAATAAATGCTATTTAGATTTTTTTATTTATTTATTTATTTTTTGCTATTTGGTGCAGTCTGTCTTGGCCAGTTGTTTGAAATATTGTTCACAAATTTTCCTGACTCGAAAGCAGCTCAGGAGGAACGGAAAGGAGGAAGGATGGATGGAGGAAGGAGGAGAAATCTCAGAGAAAACAGAGTGCCAACACAGGCTTCATTGACCGGTGGCAACATGGTGTGTAAATGTGCGAGAACAGGTCTTCTCTGTTAACCTCTGCAGACCGCCCTGCGGCCAGAGGACTGGCCGACACGGTCTGTCCATCCCACCTGGGTGGATGTGAGACGTGCATCAACACAGAGATGGAGAGACAGCAAACAGATGTCTTAATCACGTGTTTTCTCCTCCACTTCTTTAAGCAGCTGAACAATTTTAGGACAAATCATTTATTTCAAATAAAATCCTTGGAGTCACATTTGGTTCTTCAAAAACAAATTCTCGCGATAGACAAATACATTTTCACTTGAGTTGCTTTTTAAATTATGTTTCGTGCCATAATTGATCATTTCTATTACACTGGATGTTCATTATTTATATTTTTATTAGCACCGGGGTTTGCTGACCATATGTACTCATAAGAAGCGTTTTTTCCACACATGGTTTTTATTTGCACTTAACTTTCAAGCCTCCTGCTCTCTGTGCTGGTGGGTTTTACTGATTCTGTTCAGTCACAGGTTTTATATCAACCCTATAAATATTTAACAATTTATTTATTTTTTATTTGTTTATCAGGAGATCATGCATACATTGATATTACATACATTTTGCAAAACTTACATGACTTCTCCGATTTTTTATTTTTTCCCCATAACGAACATAAATCACCGTACTGACATAACAAAAACGAGTCAAAATAAGTATAAATACAAAAAAAAAAGAATACAAAAAAAAAAAAACGGGAGAGAGGGTCGGACGGCATTGAGAAGCTAAAAGGCAACAACATTCCACCCATTTATTCTGTAAATTTTAGTCACATGACATGATGAGTCAGTCACATCAATCTATGCATTATAAAGGCAGAGATTTTATGTATGTCACAAAAGGTGCCCACTTGTAAGTAAATTTTGCTGAACTACCTTTCACTGTTAGTAAAATTTTTTCTATCTTTAAGCATGATCTTACAGTATTAAGCCATTGTGAAGTAGATGGAGGTGTAGGAGATTTCCAGCAGAGTAAAATGCAGCGCCTGGCAAGGAGAGAACAGAAAGCCAAGACCTCTCCCTGTAGGGGTCACAGGTTAAGTGAGGTCCCTGGAACTCCAAAAATGGCAATTAGTGGATCGCTTTGGATCTGGATTCCAAAAACCCCAGAGAGTATGGAAAAGACATAGTTCCAAAATTTGTGTAAGCTCGGGCAAAAGAAAAACATATGACTTAAATTGCAGGGAGAGGTCTGGCATCTGTCACACTGGTCCAAAATCGAAGGGAAATTTTTAGATAGATGGGATTTCGAGAAGTGGACTCTGTTTATCACTTTAAACTGTACAAGCTGTAACCTGGCACATGGTGTGCTTTGGCGTATGCTGAGAATAACTTTATCCCACCATGAATCAGACAGATCAACACCCAATTCACGTTCCCAAAGAGTTCTGGTTTTACCCGATGAATCGGGCAATATTTAACAATTTCGCCAACAAAATTAAACTGTAACTACAGCAGAAGCTCTCAGACGATTTTTCATTTGTAGCTGTTTTGCTGATTTTGTCCACAAGGTGGCAGCAGAGATTAGAACACGTGAACAACGCCTCCAGTGTGTTGCGTTGAAGTGAGTAACGTCAGTTTTTCTTTTTCCTGTTTACTAGAGGCCAGCATAAGGTGAAAGAGATTGTTGTATTATTTGCTTCAAAGTCAGGTTTTTACACACCTTTTCTAACTATTTGTTTGATTTTAACCCAGTATTTATAACTGTATTTGAGTCATATTTGTGAGCTATACCTTTAACCTTTTCCAGATTTTCTCAACACTGACTTTGTTTTCCTTAATGATGCATCATGATTGGGATCATTGTCCATTTAGAAGAATCATTTGACTCCCACACTTTAACTTCCTGGCTGACATCTCAAGATATTTGTTTAATAGTTCCATAAAATCTTCGTTAATCATTATATCTTTTCTTTTTTTTTTTTTTTTTCTTTTTTTAGTGGATGTTCCTTCTGTTACAAAACTTCTACATATGAGTGGCATGTTCTCAGGCTTGCAAACATACACTTTTTTTCCCCTTTCAATGTTAAACATTTGAGGTTTATCTGAATTTTATATTGGTATATTCTGCACTAATCACTAGTGCTTGATAAGTCTGTGTATCTGAAAACTCAATGGTCAGAAAAAATAGGTTTGAAAGATGTTTGTTTTCTCCCCTGACTTGCTATTTTTGAAAAATATGTCATTTATTCTCACTTTATTGTTATCACTGCTTATTTTATTGTCTATCTGTGGGATGTATTCTTAGTTTTTTCCCCTTTTCTCCTCTGACATTATGTTATTTTCCAGAGCTTTCCCCCCATCCTTTGTTGGATTGGCTGTGACACTAAACCAATTAGAGTTTATTGTGAGGTGGTTGCTAGGTAAAGCAGTCAGTAAATGAAAGGTGAAGGGTGAAGGGGGTTACTCCTTCAGGAATCCAGAAGTCCTTTTAATAGGGTCAAAGTGTTTTTAAAAAAAAAAAAAAAAAAAAGGGGGCATAATAAGAGGGGGGTTTCCTTTTTGTAAATACTTGGGTTGTTTTTTTTAGATTGTGCTTTTATGCTTAGCTAAAGTCAATGAATGACTGCATTTTACAGTCAGTTCATTCTAATAATTACCTAATACTGCTGTTCTACTACGCTTGGTTGGACTTTTAGTTTTTTTTTTTCATTGAACTATGTTTAAATGATTACAAACACAAAGTTCCCCATTTGAGCTGAGATCCAACTGATGGACATTGTTTGAAAGAACAACACAAAATCATCATCATCATCGTTTAAATTGACTTTCCCTTTAAACCTACTCCACGTTGCCACCGGGTTTTTTTCCCACAGTGGTCTGACAATGACACACAGTCAGACCTTAGCCCAAGCAGACGCTTCCAGTCCGTGTCAAACGTTCAGCGGCGCCGCAGACCCTCATCTTGGACCTCAGCAAACATTTATGGAAGCACAATGCAGCAGAACAAGCATCTCTTTGTGGTAATCAGGGAGCGGGGGCCCCTGTAGTTGCTGCGTAATCTTTAAGCTCCACCAGAGAGAGAGGTTGTAGTTTATAGACAATTCCACTCAAGCTTTTGTTTCTGAAGGAAGAGAAATTAATGTGTTTACTTCTAGTGTCGTCGTTTGCCAAATTCTTTGAATATTCCAGGCAATACATTTCTCATAGCTGCATTAGTGTTGTATGGCTTAGTCTATTTTAACATAGGATCCATCTATAAAGTTTCATTAAATGATCCTGGTCTGATAAATTTGACTTTTATCAAAGCCCAGACAAAAATGCAGTAGATGCCTTCAAATTTTTTTTCCAAAAGAATGCAGATACATGACATGCAACAAAAATGCCAGATTGCTGGATGACACTCTCAACCCCAAGCTGCAGATTTGCTCAATCCTTTTGAGAATGCAATATTGTTTCTAACTCAATTGTTCACACGTCTCGGTTCACGTATTTCGTGCAAATTTGACAAAGGGCACGGTTATTGTCTGTCTTTCTTTCTCTGATACCTGATTCTTATTCTCACACATTTAAATTCTGGTTTTAATTTTTAAACATCAGTTCGCAGATTATTATTATTATTATTATTTTTTAATCTGAAATAAAAGTGCCAAGCAAGTCAGTCGTGGCGTTGCCCCCCTCTAGAGGAGTCGACGGGAAAATTACACTGGGAGAAAGACGTGCGGAGGTGTGGAGGGGAGGAGACCTCAGATTGTTGGAGCGAGAGGCTGCAGCAGAAAATAAGTCATTACAAAGAGAGGAAGAAGAGAGGATAAAGGGAAAAGAGAAGAGAAACTGGAAAAACAAGGAGTTGGAAACCAGACAATTACATTTTGGAATTTTTTTTTTTTTTTTTTTGTGGACATCATCTCCTGGATTTTCGCTTCCGTCAGAATCCACCTGTCACCTGTTGCAGATGGGAAAATAGCACCTGTTTGGCTTCTGTGTGTGTTACCAGTCGGACCACCTTCAGCCTCTCCGCCACAGAGAAGAGGATGGGAGCTGTTCACCTCTGTCTCGCGCTGGTTTTCCTGTCCTCTCCAGCGTGTGCCCAGTGGTGGAACTATTTCTGGGCGAAGCCAAAACCCACCACTCTTCTTCCTGCCCTTACCTCTCCAACCAGCTCCCCCCCGGAGCCTTCCCCAACCCCGGGGACTCTGTCGGAGTGGGGAGAGGGGGAAGAGGAGGATGCGGTGACAGCGAACCATGTGGAGGACACCGGGACAGGGTGGACTGCGCCGTCCTCTGCTCCACACACCTCAGGGGATTTAGTTTCCCACGACAATAAGAAAACGTTGACATCGTCTTCTAGGGCGAACTCAGGTGGAATCACCAAAGGCAGGTCTGGGAATAAACCACTGCAACAGTGGAAGAGTGGTGAGTGATTGTCAATGGCTTTAGTTCCCAGTGGACCTTTTCTGAACAGTTCAGTCTCATAAACAAAAAGTAAAGTCAGTAAGACATTGGCAGAGTCATCCCACTGATCAAATAATCCAATGGTCTATTGGGGGGTCCTGCAGTTTTGGACCTCCATGCCTAAAGTAAACACACGCTGGTGGTGTTTGTGAGAAATACGAGACAGGCCTTCATGCTGTTTTTGGTCAACCGTGATTTTGGTCTTGGCACTTGCCAATAGTGGCCACCACTGCCCAGTAATTAAATCATAAACACTGACCATGAGGAAAGTTGGGACATGCCGTGCTTTAGATTATGTTCTAGGCTCTTCTGTGACCAGCTTTACTGAGTTCACTTTTGAAGCAGGTTTCTTCCTCTTGGAAAGGTTCACTGCTGCACCATGTTGTCTCCATCTGTGGATTATGACTCACTGTGGTTCACCGGAGCCCCAAACACTAAAAAAATGGCTCTGATTTAGTGCAAAAACACGAAATCTTCAGCAAGATATAGGAGCTTATTTTAAGTAAATATTTCCTTAATATTGATTTTTAAAGCACTAGTTCCACAGACAGGTTGTTTAACTTATAACAAGACTTTTTTTTTCCCATAAGTGAAACAATCTGCCAGTGGAACTAGAACTTTTTCATCAATATTAAGCAATTATTGATTTAAAACAAACTCCTATACCTTGCTAAAAATGTACTTGTAAGCTAGTTTTGTCTTATTTCAAGTGTAAGGTTTTGTGTTTTTACATCTGCTCTTGAATTTCTGTAAGCTTGATGAGTTACATTTTGAGATCTTGTAGCCTACGTCAGGTTGTCTGATGAGGCATTTCATAATGCTACAAGGTTTGACTATTGTTGCAGTAATGCGTACTGGGAAAATTAAGTGAGTTGGACAACTTTTGATTTGGAAAATCAAGATTTTTATAATAACTTGTTTATCAATCTGAAACATTTAATAGCAGAAATCAGTAAGGGGGCAAATCGTTTTTCACAGCAGTTGATCAGGTGGGTTGATACAGCCATCAGGTTCCACCATTATGACGTAAGCGTAACACAGGGACAACTTTAAAAACCATCGGTGGTACAAATATGGATTGATAGCAGTGTCACCATCCACATATACGAGCATTTTCAATTAAACTCAGTTGGAAATGGGGCCCTCATCTGACTGACTTTTAAGATTTCCCTGAGTTTCCTTATTGGCTACAACTTCCAAGAAAGATTCTTCAGAAAATCTGGACCATACATTTAAATAACTGTACATGTATGACCAGTTTAACATGCTTGATTTTGTCTGTCCGCCTCATGTTAGCTCACGTTGAGTCAGATGTCCAGTAGCATCACACCAAGCAGTCTTTAATCTCTAATTTGTGTGCTGATGTTTTTTTTAGAATGAAGGTTTTCCCAGTGTGTTTTCGTGATCTGAGAGCATCTGAGCTATGCGACACACGTCTACCACGAAACGGTCCGAGCTAAGTCTGCGGACTCAAAAAAAGAAATCTTGAGAGAGCGGCTCAGGCAGCTGGAAGCTTTTATGTGGCAGCCAGGGTCGAAGAGGGATTAAAAGGTTATAGATGGCCACACTGAGGGAGTCGGTAATATTGGTTTTTTACAAGACTCAACAAGCCGATGGAAGCTTTCATGTGGTCGACATGACAAGGATTAGCTACAGGAGGAGGGACGGTGACAAGGGGAGAACACGACCCCAAATTTGTAATTAGACAAGTGACAGATCCGGTTGCTTGGTGTTTGGAAAGCGTTGAATGAAACTGAATCAATGGTGAACGGGAGGTCGCGTTGGTGACGGGTGAGCGTTAGATATTTTACTGGCAACAACAAAAGAATAATCAGAAATGGCTCAAAAGTCTGAACACATGATGGAGCTATGAGTATGGCTGATGCTGAAGTAAAAACAAAAAGGTCTAAAAGTTGGTGATAGAAACTGTTTGTTTTGATAGATAGTCCTTTAAAAAAAATCTGGAAAAGTGCGAAGTTTTATTACTTTCCAAGTCTGGATAAGTGTAGAAATGAAGACAACTCTGGATAAAATCGAGGATAGATTTTCCAGACTCAAAGAAAATCTTAAAGCTACAAGAAAGGAATTTAAAAAAAAAATTAACTTTTACCTTGATATTTACAGTTGAAACTAAATGCGTAGATGCAGAACATAACAAGGCACAGTTTTGGAGTTTTACAGAGTTGGAAATGTTTCATTTTCTTTACAGTAAGATTTTTAATCTTTTGTTTCATTCATCGAGGTCTACGGATCTCAGTTTCTGCACAGCTCTTCCAATGATCCACTGCAGCATTTCAGTCAGGTTGAAGTCTAGATTTCACTCTGGATCACCGATGCAACTGAGTAAATGTGACGATAGTTACTACTGAACTCTGCCAGAACCTGATGATGTGCTTTTTTTTAAACACAGACTTCAGAAACTTGAGTTGTTTTGTAGACGTGATCTTCAGACTTGTGTTTTCATATTTTAGGTTATAAAATATGAAAACACATTACTTACCATTACATTACTTTATCGCTTTTATTTATTTATTTATTTTTCTTGTTAGCCATTGTAAATAATTCATATGTAATATTACTGACACCGTTTATTATAGAAAAATAGAAAAAGAACAGTAGTTGGTATTTTAGGACGCATAAAGGTTTAGTTTCAGGAAACCTGACTTGGAACGATGTTGTGATTGACATTTCGCACAAACCTGCAGGTTTGGGAAGTTGCCCAAGCAAACGACTGATACTCTCTGACAGATTTATGCAGCCAAGTCAAGTGTTGGATTAGTTTTTAACATTAATGTCAAATAATAACCTCAAAGCGCGGGAGCAAAACTGAACGATTTGCTGACCAGGCCGGTCAAAACCTCAGGTCTCTCGGAGTTCATCTGCTCCTTTTGGCCATTGCAGAAGCCTGAGGCCTGCACATCTGGACTGGAGGTGTGGGGTCTTAGCAGAGTTTCAGTTTATGCATGTGGACTTTGTTTGCACCTTTTCCCACCTCTGTTGGCAACAATAAACTTTTAAACATGTAGTTGTGTGAGTGACGCGCAGCTGTACACCCACCCACACACACACAACCACAAACCTCTAATCACACTCGTTTCCACTCATTAGGACCGATGAATTAGAGACGAGCAAATGCTGGCCTGTCTGGCCTGGTCTGGCCTTTGTGTGTGTTCTAGAGTGTGAGTTTTCCATGTGTCTATGTGTGAGTGTGTGTGTGTTTGTGCACATGATAGGAATATAGGATGAAGGGGCTAACCTGTCCTGAACGCTGATCTTGTTGCTACGGGAGACAGGCTCCTTCGGAAGGGGAATCACGGGGGCGCGAGGCCGTCCCTTCGCACACACACACACACACACAAACGCCCACACGCACACACACATACACACACCGAGAATACTCTAATTACTACACATGGTGCGTGCTTTTCTGTTTGGAGGGATTATGTCGGTGTGAGGCAGGGCAGCGATGCGTGGTCGTCAGGATCAGGTCAGCCCAAATCAAAGTTGCGTCGGAGCGATTCGCGCGTACTTCTGCTCTTTTAGTCCGACGTTCTGGGATGAATTAGCAAAGCAGCAGACAGATCTGCACAGCTGTCAGAAACGTCATCAACACAACATGAGGTATCAATGTCTGCATCTGAAGTAAAAACGTCAACGCCTCCTTTCCCTAACTGAGCAGTTGGCGACGGATCGATGGGTTTTCTCCCAGAGTTGCTCTGTGTCGTTGACCTTTTCACCTTTGCGTTGTCTCCGTCAGAGAAAGCCTCAGGAAGTCATCTGGACCTGATGACTCTGATTAGCATCCCTCTGCCTCCCGCCGTCTCCTTCACTCCTGGCTTCCAGGGGTTTCCAGCGTACAGCTTCGGAAGCGACGCCAACGTCGGCCGACTCACAAGGACGGTTGTGCCCGGGCCTTTCTACAGGGACTTTGCCATTATTGTCACGGTACTGATCCGAAGCCAAGACACTTTCAGACATTGTTCTGTTATTGGATGGAGTCGCCAGGGTACTGATTTTAAACAATGTCCCTCCTCTATCAAGTGCTTTTGAGCTTAAAAACATCATGTAAGAAAACCTTTGTGTCATTCAGCGTCCCTGATGTCCCCATTCTTTCCGTCCCTTTCAGATGCGTCCGGCCACCCAGAGAGGAGGCGTCCTGTTTGCCGTCACAGACACCCATCAGAAGGTAGTGGAGCTGGGTTTGGCCCTTACGCCGGTCCACGGAGGCCTGCAGCAAATCGTTCTGTACTACACCGACACGGAGCAGGCGTCCCACAGCCACAAGGCTGCTGCCTTCAGCGTCCCAGACATGACCGACCAGTGGACACGGTTCAGGGTAGGCTGATGAAGTAAACAATCGTCTTCAATTTTTCTTTTTTTAATATCTGTCAGTTTTTTTTAGTTGCTCGTGTTGTATGTATTTTATTTTATTTTTTTTTACCATTTACTTAAATACAATTTCTCTTTTTATAAATAAAATCTAGCACTAACTTACCTGAGTGAAGTTGCCCCCTCCCACCTTCTTCAAATCAAACAAAAATGGTGTCAAACGTTTGTGCTGGTTTAAGCAGCACATTTTTTTCTTTGTGCTGCTATGGCTTTGAAGATATTTATGAAAATTTAGAGGTCAAAAGGTCGTCCAGTGACCTTTTGGCACTGATAGACTGACAAACACTGACACGGTGCATGGTCATTCTGATGTCACTATTTATGACATCAGAATGACCTTTCAAATTCCATCCAAATCTTCAGTCAGATCAGCACAAACAAAACATTTTGCTGCACAAACCAGCACAAACGTGGTCGAGTTGATTGACACCAATTTTGTCTGACAAAAGTGATAAAAAGAAAATATTTTTTTTAATCAGACAAATTGACAACATTTAGTGTCAAAATGCAGAAAGTATATTCTGCTGCTTTCATTAGATCACCCAACAAATGACAGGAGTTTATGCCCTCTTTGTTCAACAAGTTCTGCTTTAGACCCTGAACTCGTCAGAACACAGTCTCCCCACTTGGAGGAAAAAACACTGGAAGGTATGGATTGACCCGTTGTTGGAGTGAAACATCCCATGTCAAAATGTATCATTTTGTACCCTAACAAGTAAAACCACAAAGGTGGAACTTGTCAAAAAACAAAAAGACTGGCCCTTTAAAAACTTCACGTTGTGAAGACACAAGCAAAACATCCGTTCATGAGTGAGATTTCACTTTTTATTCCATGCTGTACATCAGTCTGAGGGAAACCAAGAGCTTACAGGAGGCACTGTGATGTCACAGTGTCACAATCTGTCGCCATGATTCCACTCTGTGACATCAGTGTGTAACACAGTGACATCACAGACGTGTGACATCAGAGTGTAACACAGTGACATCACAGACATGTGACATCATAGTGTAACACAGTGACATCACAGTGGCTCTGTGACATCACAGTGTCACACTCTGATGTCAGTGTGGCATCTTTCAATTTCCATCCATATCGTTCTGAACTACATGATCTGACCGTGACGTCAGAGTGTGACCATGTGACATCACAGTGCCTCCTGCCAGGTCTTGGTTTCCCTCAGAATGATGTACAGCATGGAACAAAAAGTGAAATCTCACTCATGAATGGATGTGATCAAAACATTTTTTTTTATCTTTAACCTAAAATACTAAACACATCACTTTTGATGAGCGCATTCCTGAGACTTTGACATGCTCCACAAACTCTTACTATCAAATCTTCTGCCTGTCGTGTAGCAACACACATGTATTAAAGAGTCCAAGATGGCGACACAGCAGCATTTTTAAGCAATTTGAAATCATTTTTTGTACTAACTAGCAATATTTTTTTTCTTCCCTCTAATGATCAGGGACCAGCACTGCAGTTGTTCTATGAAAAAATTTTGAATAAACTTGAGTGAAACAAGTAACATAGATAGACATGTTTTCATTTTCTTCAGGTTTTACTACACTGACATGGAGCAGGCGTCCCACAGCCACTTTTTTTAAGATAATGAAATCCAGCATTAATTTTGCAAACTCATTACTAGATAATTGTTCTTAGGATGGTTTTAAGCTCAAATGTAGCTTAATATTAGCTTTAAATTGAGATGACACTTTATTTTGGGATGTGGGACACAACAAAGATAAAGAAGTAGCCAGCAATCATAAGCTGTTGAATTTTATGACGCATAGAAAACAATAATACTGAATGTATGAGTGGATTAGAAAGAAAACCCAGCAAAATATATTTGTCTCAAGTAGCTTTTTCTGTGCTGCAGTTGGTGGTGGACCATAATGAGGTGCGTCTTTACATGGATTGCGGTGAAGCTGAGAGGACGACTTTCCATCGCCGGCCAGAGAAACTCACCTTTTCACAAAACTCCGGCATTTTTGTTGCAAGTGCAGGAAGCACAGGCTTCGATAAGTTTGTGGTGAGTAAAACACACTATTCATACATATGTTGTGTTTTTTAATCTCTGGTGAATAGCTAGAAAAAAACTGCTTTTTTTTTTCCTAAATAAAGATAGACAGAAAGGAAGAACATGTCAGTATTTGTGTGCAGACGGGCCTCTCATTACCCTGCTGCAGAGATGAAATGCATGACTTCATCTCTCTCCTCTGGAAACGTTCCAGCATTCAGCCCAATTAATCCGTCTCTGTTCTGGTTTTAATTCATCCACCGTCCTGGATGCGGAGACAGAAAACAAACACTTTAGATTCATCATGCCTTTCGTTACTGTGGATATCAGATGAAAGTCGTCTCAAAAGGCACATCTGAATGTTTAGCGATGTAGAAATGTCAGCCTGTTTCCTGCTTTCTGAGGAATAGCCATTGACTTTTATCATTTTAATGGTTTTCTAGTAATAGTTATCTAAATATCCATCCATCCCAGGTCTTGTATAGATATAGATGTATATAAGATCTATCCTGTATATTTCTAGCTGTCGCCACTTGAACTGACACTTTCCATTAAGTAAATACAGTCAAAAATCTCACAGGTCTTACACACCTTATTAACCAAGAACATCACCATTTCTTTGAAAAAACATTTTTACAAAGAGTCAATATAACTACTAAGTGTTTCCGAAAACCGGGATCGGCATTCTGCGGATTCCCATGCGTCCAGCGGGACTGGCTCTGCTGCTGGTTCTGTCCTGCATGTTTCAGAAGATCAGAGACGGGGAGAGGGCAAGATGAGAGGAAATAACAGGAGGAGGACGGAAGAGGGGGGAGATGCAGGAGAGGACAGCAAAGAAGGACGGGGGAGTAAACCAATAACAGACGAGGAAGTCCGAAATGTCGGCATGTTTTAGTTGTGGTCCAGTCAAGGCCTTGGATTATGCCAGTCAGGGTAACTCCTAAGTAGTTTTCCACAAAGGAAGAAAACATATTGGATTTTAAAACAAGTTTGTTTATATTGTTATACAATGCGTGTGGCTCCATTATTTAGAATAGGCGGGTTTTTAAAGCCGTGGCATTGATATTATACCAACTTGGCAACTGATTGAACATAAGCCGTTCCTGTTACCGTGGTGAGCCACTGTAGCCATCATCACTTCATTTAGTGTTTGTTCAAAGTGGCCTGACTTCCTCAATGGGTTATCTGAAGCATGAGAGGCAGAATGTGAGCCGCTCAGCAGCAGTTTGTCAACTTGGCTCTATCTGGGTCACAGAGCGGGTTTGTTCTCGGTGCTGCGGACCGGTTCAGTGTGGCACGCCGTCCTTTTTCAATCAGTGCGTTTATGGATTGGGGCACCGTAAATGTAATGATTAATGATGAAAGGAACCAATGACTTCTGTGTTTTTTCAGAAAATGCACCAGCACTTATGCAATCTCCTGAGCAAAACAAGAGAAAAGCAGTCAGTCATATGATATTTATGTTCTTTATGACGCTTTAAGAAAAGGAATTTCTTACATTCTTGGAAATTTAAGAATTTAAGACACTGACAGGCTTCATGGACATGTAAATGTATGTAACTTCTTGAATTATTTCATCTATACATGGCATTAAACCACATTGTACTCAGTTATTTGTCTTTAGATGTCTAGCAGTGGGAACAGACAAATGGAAATGTCAAAATGCAGTTTCTAAACAAGAAAATCAAAATATCAAACTTCAAAAACAATATCTCTGAAAACATATGAAACTAGTATACCTTTTACTATATATTCTTTTGCTTTTACTATATTCACAAGGCGGAATTTAAAAGTTGAAACAATGGAAAACCAATTTTACAGCAACTGTCTACAAATCTCACAGGCTGCGCATAAATCAGGCGTTAGCGGTGCAAAATCACGTCTTTACAATAGGAAATGTTTTGTGACTTCTTTGCAATGTAATCATATTTTGAACACCTATTAAAAAAAGTCAAAAACAGACTTTTACTAAAGGCACATTTTACCAAATCAAATGCTATTGTAAAATACAAAATCTTGGCATTTGGGAGCGCAGCAAAGCAGTAGCTTACAGCAGACAGGCAGGACTGTTTAACCTCTGACCTGGAAGTGCTTTGGGGTTCTCCAGAATAAAGCGCCTAAATATAAACCCAATGTTTAACCGTTAAAAAAAAAAAAAGAAGTGCACAATTTTTCTGAAACAGAAGTCACTTATAAGAGCCCAACAAATAACTAATAACCTGTTAGTGAAGGTAAATCATAATTCAAATGAGAAATTGAATCCAAATAATTTTACCTCATTACATAGGGAAAGATGGGATTGCTTTTCTCTCTCTCTCTTTTAATGTTTTATTTCTTTTATGTAAGTCAGTAGCTGGTGTGACAACAGCAGCTCTGCCTTATTTTCCATGTATTTCCATGTTCAGGGGTCTGTTCAGCAGCTGGTCATAAGGGAGGATCCCAGAGCAGCAGAGGAGCAGTGTGAGGAGGACGATCTGTATGTGAGTCACTCAAACACAGCAGATAAATGGGTTAGAACCAGCGGACATGTAAGGCTGGAGCGCCCTCTTCTGGATCAACAGTTTACCGGGAAGTTGTTGATATTTTTTTTTTTTCTGTTCAAGAACTATTTATGTTATGGATTTTTGAAAAGCAAAAACATTATTAGTGTGATCAGTAAGAGGGGAGAAAAGAAGCTAAATACAGGGCAAAATTACGAGCAAAGAAGATTTCTTTATGTTTTGCACACAAAGAAATCTGAGTTCTTTTACGCTTTTACTTTGACAACGGAGACTGTTTTGGTATTAAATTGTCAGAGTATTATCACAACTACACAACTGTTTGACAACGTCTGTTATTTGCCAATACAGCCGTTGCAAATGAGTGAAAATGATCTTACACAAAGGCTGAAAATTGTATCAGTGATTACAGTTATCTGGAGATGAGTTGTATAACAAATGTCTAACTTTTGGCAATCTTTTATGCAAAATCTAAAAAAAAGAGGCATATCTGAAGACTTTTTGCACAGCGATCGTTTCTTGACATCTGTAAATAACCTCAAACTCACTTCTTTATTTGTCGTATTTTCTGTTTTGTCGCTTATTGCCTTTGCTTTCTTTTATTTATATTGTTGACTTCTGGTTTTGGATTTGATGCGTTTATTTTGATAAGACAACTTCCCCTGTATATATTATAGAACGGCAGCTTGAGTTTTAACAGTGATGTTAAAATGTGTCTTGTTATTAGCAGTTCCCTTGACATAGGCACGAGCTCTTACAGCGAAACTAAGGGTTTATTTCCAATAAACCTCTCTGTTCCTCAGTTAATGCCTCAAACCTTCATTCCATTCTCAGGGGTATGCTACAACATCTATGACAATCCTACCTTTTTCAACAAACATTACATTTCTAATGAACTCAGGCCTCGGGGTACGCGAGCGGAGACGATCCTCTGGATGACAGAGAGACTGAGGTGGACTCCAGAAAAAGGGCAGATGGCGTCAAACGGCCAGTAGGTGGCTCTCTTTTCTCCAGGCTCTGTTTGTTGTCTACTACTCCTACAGGCAGGAAGTCAGTTTGACCCAAAACAAACCCAGAATCAACTACAAAGGGCGAATCTTCAAAGGAAACTTTCTTTCTAAAGCAGAATAGTAGCTTCTACACATTAAGGAGGTTTTAAACATTTGGAGTAGTTAATCTCCTAACCCCCAACAGATCCCTGATTTCTGAAGGATATTTTTGTTGTTGTTGTTTTTGTTTGTAAACAGATATAGGAAAGAATTTATGAACATTCGTATAATAAACCTGATAATATTTGACACTGTCTTGACTGAAATCGTGTGTAATGTAGTTGGATTGCCATTTCTCTCATTACTACTGTTATTATTTCTTTCTTTATTGCTTCTTACAGGAGGAACCCATTTGGTCTTACCAACTACAATCCACTTTTAACAATCTTCTCTGTTAAAGGTCGTCTCTCTGAAGGCTGAGAACAGCTTCCCTGTTAAAGCTCCGCCCACTGTCTTACCAGAGGTGGAGCTTGATGAGTATTCTGGTCACATGACTCCGACAGCAGCCAATGAGGATCTGCTGATCGCAGGTGAGAAAGAGACTTCTTAATGTTGTCAATGGAAATGATTTATTTATTTTCTAACATGGGAGCTTACTTTCTTCATAAGGTGCCTCGTTAAAGAATTTATGGCAAAGATTTTCCACATTATGTCACATTACAAACAATATCGAATTTTATTGAGATAGCCGAAGGTGACGTATAATTGCGAATTGGAAAGAAAATGATTCATGGTTTTTAAAGTGTTTCACAGTAAAAAACAAAAAATCTGAAAAATGTGAGTCATACATTTGGTTTTAGTTCACTTTACTTTAGTTGCAAATGGAAGCTTCTACCTCGTTTGAAACCAATATTTTAAGATTTAAAGATCTGGTTAATTCAACATCTGAAAATGGAAGGAGTAAGGCACAATTGCAAATCTGTTGAGTTGTAGTCGTCCATCGTAATGGAGAGCATCAACAATAGAAGCAGCCGAGAGCAACATGGCCACTCTGGAGGAGATGCAGAGAACTATAGCTCAGGCGGGAGAACTTTAACGCTCAATTATTCGTTATTTACCCCAGAAGTCTGGGCTTCGCAGAAGAAGGGTGAAAGAAACGAAAAACAGTCGAAGGAAAGCTGTAAACAAAATCCTACTGGCCATTTGGCGCCACGGCAAACATTCAAAGAAAGTGGATTGCTCAGATGAGGAAATAGTTGTGGTTCTTGGCCTGCTTGCAAAACGTTGTGGCAGAAAACAAACACTGCACCGCACCCTGAACCCACCATCCCCACAGGGAAACATGGAGGTGGAGACACTTTTAGCAGTAACTGGTTGCATTTAATGGGAAGACGGATTGATGGTAAACCTGGTAGGTGATTCAACAGCATTGAAAGGTTCACCTTCTATGAGGGAGACAACCTAAAACATATTCAAGTGTTAGAATATATAAACGTTAAGACCTAAGACCAATTTATGAAATTGTTTCAAGTCTGTCTAGTCAATCCCCATCTAGTTGGACTTCAGGGCAAACCTGGTAGAGACATAATAACCCGAATGGCTTGTATCTGTAACTGTTGCAAAAATGTTGGTCTTACAAGTTGTGGCGTTTTTTTTTTTTTAAAGCACTTTTCAGACCTTCTGAAACTTTTATAATGTGATCAAATGTGAAAACTTTTGCTCGGCATCGTTTATTTTACCCCAAAAATACAAGTACTGTAAAGAAAAACTTGCAAACTTTTCACTTTAGTTCTCATTTTATAATGTCTGAAAAATCAGCAGCTGGACTTTCATTTATTATTCATTTCTTCATTTGTTTGCTGGTTTATTTATTATGTGTGAATTGTCATGTCAATACACCACGTTTTATGTCCAGAGTCGCATCAAACAGAAGAGGCAGGAGAGCGACCTGGACACGTGAGTCCACACGTCGTCGACATTTTACTATTAGAAAATATCCACTGAATTACTTTTTTCCTTTTTTTAAATTATTTATTCTGTCAGTGATCTATTTGTCTCAGTGATATAAAAACACATACAGACTGAATTCAAGTTCAGCAAATATAAACTTAGGCTTTAAAGACTTGAAATGTACAGGTTCTCATCAGGCCCGGCTTGAAAGGGGAACCAGGAGATCGTGGGCCGCCGGGGCCGCCGGGGCCTCCTTGCTGTCCGGGACCTCGCTACACACACAAAGAGGGCCGTGGGAAACCTGGGCCACCAGGACCACAAGGAACTCCTGGAGCCCCGGGAACACCGGGGGTCGATGGACAGAAGGTTTTGTTTGTTTCACTGCCTCGGATTTCAGATGCATAAGAAGATCTGCTGCTTTACGTAAATTGTTTCGGCTTCTCATACATCTCACGTCAGCAGGTGTATCACGTTGCCACAGAGCCTTTCCTGAAAGCATCACAACTCTGAAGTATTATATATTTCATGTATGCATAACGTGATTTAATGTTTTGCTTTCTTATGCAGATGCTCTGTCTGCACTGATGAAGAGTCGTTCGCTTTGTGCGACTGAACAGAGCAGAATTCGTACTGAAGTTTCATCCCTAAATTCTCAGTCGATCCATAATTTATAGTATTTGAATATTAATCCAGCAGCAAACTAAGAATCCCACAACCTTTGCCTCAGTACATACACAAAATACTATGGTCTTGTGTGTTACGTGTGTAAAGTGGTTTCAGAAAAGTTTGCAAGTCTCAAACATTTATAAGAGTTTTGTTGTTTGTTGTTTGGCCATTTTCCCCCTAACCTTCTGAATCTTTCACTTTCGCTTTTTGCAGGGAGGCAAAGGTGAAAAAGGTGAAGTGGTGAGTATCTTAATACTTGAAATTCTGCTTTATTTGTGTTTGCATTGCTGTTGTTTAAGACGTATGAGTAACGGAGATGCGATTCTCCCATCAGGGTCAGAAAGGACAACAGGGACTTCCAGGTTTGAGCAGAGAGGCCGGAGCTAAAGGAGACAAGGTGCATCTACAGACGATCCCAAATGATTTTTGGTGAAAGCATATTTGTTCTCCATTCAGTGGGTGGAGAATTCAGAATTTTACTCATCAAGTGAGAATGAAAAGTAAAGTATAGGAAAAATACTCTGGAAAAGAATTTTTTTCAAAGAAGTTACTCAAGTAAATGTAACTGAGTAACTTTAGGTGGTTACTAGCCACTCTGCACATGGTTGGCCAGAAATGTCCAGCAGTAGATGCATAATTCATTTACCTGAAAGAATGAACTACCAGCATTAAAGGTGTGAAATGATTAAGGAGTGGAATAACCAGCTGCACTTTTTATATGCTGTGTATAACAAATGTTTAATTTAAAATCTGTAATATTTTTAAAAGTTAGCAAAAAAAGGAGAAGAAAATAAAACCTAAACAACTATTAGTGGAGAACTCAAAGGCTGCTTCTGTTCTGGCATTGATTAGGTTTTAGACTTAATCCTTAACAAAGCATTTAATCTAAAAAGGTTGATGGCATTAATCAAAAATTGTTTGATCTTTTAATTAAATTTAAAAAAAGACAAAAGACAGGAAAAGTAAATGTTTGGATGATGTCTTCTCTGTTCACAGGGGGACCCAGGCGTTGGCCTGCCAGGCCCCCCCGGTCCCCCAGGACCCCCAGGGCCTCCCAGATCCCGCAGTGTGCCGGTGAGCAGACTATGATCAAATTTTACAAACGGTTTGTAAAATTACCTTCATATTTTTGACATCATATTTATGTTTTAGTATGGACCAGATGCCCTTGGTTCTGGCTTTGAGGATCTGGACACCGATACCATTTACATCATGGTAAGAGCCAAAAACGTATAAACGTTTACGATAATTTGAGATGATTTCATTTCTGTTTGATTCCCAGGGTCCAGCAGGTCCTCCGGGGCCTCCGGGACCACCCGGGCCTCCTGCGCCCCAGCTGTCATCAGAACTGACCCCTTGCCACACTGGACCCCCGGGTGCACCTGGCAGTGATGGACTTCCAGGCGAACAGGGAATACCAGTAGGTTACCTGTCAACTTAAGGTGCATTTAGATACGAGTAGAAAAGTGTAAATTATATATATCTATACTACTGTGTTCAGTCATCCATGCTTCATATCTATCAGGCCCCCAGACTGAAAATCTAAAAATGTTTCATTCGTTGTATTTCCAATCAAGATACAGGTTCTGCCACCACGTTGACATTTGATCCCATGTTTAACCTCTATATCTGCATTTGTCTCTGTCATCTATGTGGTATCCATGTTTTACCGTCACCCCATCCTGTTCTAACTTCATTTTTCCTGTCCATCCATCTTCTACACTCTTGCCATTTCTCTGTCTCCTCTACTTTCTTGCAGATATTTGAGGATGACTTAAGTGGCTCTGGGCCTTTTGGTTCAGCTCTGAGTCCAGAGCTGGCGTCAGTTCTCAATACAAAACTCGCTACTGGTTCCGGTTCTGATTTTAGTTCTGCCTCCGGTGTCGGTTCGGGTTCTGGGCTTGAGTCCGCCTGGGGCTCGGGCGAGGTATTCTGGCCTGGTTTCACCCAGGAATAAGGGAGCAATGAATGACAGGAGTGCAATCCAATGCATGAGTGGAATGCCCAAACTCCGTAAAGACGTAATGAAGATGACACATTTGTCGCAGTGATGAAATTCCTGCCGAAAGCTTCTTTTTCAAATTCAAACTCTTGGGGTTTGTATCATCATTTATTTATTTTTTTTTTCAGCTTTTAGTTTTTGGGATTGTAGCGATTGAGTTATGTTCATTTTCCTTTCTGAAGTCAAGAATGGCAGCCAAATATGCAGTCAAAAATATCACAACAACAATGGAGATTTGTGCAGGACACAAAACCTGGACGAATCAGACCTCATGATCTCTTTCTATTGCTCAAAAACCCGATTGTAGTCTCTTTTCCCTCAATGATCTGTGGATGTCTTACGTCTACAAAGAGCTTTAGTCCCCAGTCATTTGCATTTCTGTTGCATTCTGCCTCGGAAAATATTCTTACTGAACATTTTAGTGACCGCTGATCGCAAACATTTAAAAATTCGTCCACAAAAAAAAGGGTAAAAATTTTAGTCGTTTCATCAATCTCCAAGGAGATGCTCCAAAAACTTCCTTCACGTTGGAAGTTCTGTGATTTAGTTTCGTTTCACAGTTTCAAGGTTACCTTTTCGGTTCTAAAATATGATGATATCTGCCCTTTAAGGTCACTGCTTCAAATGTCGAGCGATAATGACTTAACATTGTCGGCAGTCATTGTCTTTACTACAGTCCGTCTGTGCTGAATTCATTTTTAACTCCTGGCTGAACATGCATCCATTCTGATTTTTTGTCAGCACAAAATGGGCACATTAGGCACCACAATCAACGGCCAATCAGGATGAGATAAAAGCTTCTGAGTCACACAGGGGGTTTATCCCAAGGTGACATTGAAACAATAATTCTTGATTTAGCACATGGAAGAAACTTTCAGGTAAACTTAAGTTTTATGCTAAAATCAAACTCAGTCCTGTGGTTAAATTTTTCATTTTGCACATTTGATCTCAACGTAAAACAGGAAGTATGAAAATGCTGTTTTTATCGTGTTGCGTCATATCGAAGAACAAATAAGATTCGTTATTCCTTTTTTTGTTAATTAACAATTGAAAGAACAAACAGTGGCTATGCTAAAGCTGGCACAGATGAACTCTGCTACACTGTCATGTTACTTGAATAATTGAGGAATATTCTTTAACATCAAAATTGTTGTGAAATGAACAATTCATTTCCTGATAACTACTTGGAGCAGCACATTCTACTCTAAAACCTTTTGGCGTTAATGGCACCTTCAGGGATGCGCATGTCACCCTTTGCATGTACAAGACAGCGGATTGCATTAAACACTAGACAAACATGGCTGAATACTCTCATTACTGCATCTGTGAAGATGAATAATGAGATGAAGAAATTATCCACGCCATTGCTGTTGCTAACACCGCTACCGTCATGCTACATGCAGCTAAGTTGCATGTGGTCCAGTGTAACAATCCCATGGATGATTTCATGTCTCCATCAAACCGACTGTCATTATTCCCTTCCTCTATTCTCTGTGAAACTCTGTGTTGATCCCAGCTGGAAAGCCTGAGGGATCAACAGAGAGCTTTGTCACCATGCTAGCATGCACCATGGTACTTTTCACTTTCTCGTTGTTCCTTAGCAGCCATTTAATTTGCGTCTGGTTGTGTTTATCCATCTAGGGTCCTGCAGGGACAGCTGGCTCCCCGGGCCCACCGGGGGGTGCTGGACCAAAGGTACGCTCATCTTTGTGAAGTTCATAACAACAGGGAATAGATTTGACTGTTTTCTAGACAGTTTGGAGTTGCTATTTTTTAGGCCGTCAGTAAACGAGGCAGATGGAAGGAATGTCTGTCTGTTTGGTTTTCTTTGTTCATGTTGTATTTTTATACCTTCAGGGTGACCAAGGGATACCTGGACCACCTGGACCAAAGGTAATTAATTGACTTCAAACAGTTACAGGTTGTGCATAAACTGTGTTGATTCCCCCCAGATGAGTACATTGTTGGGTTGGTAAAAAAAAGAGCTGTTCTGTTGAATGTGTCGGCCTTCTTGGTCTGTGTGTCTTTGTCTCCTTAGGGTGAAAGTGGAGATGTGGGCCCACCAGGGTCTCCTGGACTCCAAGGGCCTAATGGTCGACCAGGAAGAAGGGGACCTGCAGGTCCACCAGGACCCCCGGGCCCACCTGGCCCTCCAGGAGCCAAAGTCCTTGTAGAGGTGATCTTGGTTTACGTCAAACACAGACCATATAAACAACAAGCATAAGGAATGAAATGAGCCATGGATGAGCAGAAGGGCACATTAGAAAAGAAGAGAGCAGGTTGGGTTCTTCATTCACTATTAGAGCATTTTAGTTTCACACAAGACTGTTTCCTTTGTTTCTTTTTCAAAGGACATGGAAGGATCAGGAAAGAGCGACTTGTTAATTAGGACAGGAGTCAGAGGACCTCAGGTCAGTGGAAAACATCTGTATGTTTATGTGTGTGTTCCTAATATAATATGGTAAATCTTTTCTCGTTTTTTTCAAGGGCCCTCCAGGCGTACCAGGACCCCCTGGACAACCGGTAATCTCTTCATATGTACACCGCCTCGACTTTTTCACACCTTTATTGTGTTGCCGACACAATTTTGTAAACAACAAATATAGGTTTCAGGGATCAATACAAACAGGAGCGCATGAGTTGCACTAACATGTGCGACTCATGGTGGATTTTATCTTTTTTCTCCATTTCTGCTCCGCCGACATGTTCATGCGTTCACCGCGACGCCTCACAAATCTGTCCCACATTCTGCTGTAAAAAACAAAAAATAAATGGAAACCACATCTTGCTTCATTTCCACGCCACTATAACGTACAACTCCGTGTTAGAGAAAATCTCAGCAAAATACAGTTTGTTCCTGGGGAAACGATTTGCTTCATTAGTGACGGTGTCCTTGTGATGCCTTCAGGGTGAAGACGGCGCCCCCGGAGTTCCTGGGATTTCTGTCAAGGTTTGGCCTTCATAAACCTGAATGGATCACATTTCTTTTGTAAACAGTTTGCTGTCTATCAGCTCCTCATCCGTCCCTGTTCAATAGGTTTCAGGTATTATATTAAGTGAATTCCTTGTCATAATAATTGTTGTGCCAAACTCTTTCCAAGCTGAAGAAAATCCCTTTAAAGCCGCATCGCTTCCACTTAGGAACAAATGGCAGCTCGGCAAACTAAACTGGAACATTGTGTACAAAAGAAATGTGTATTATTTTTGCTGCATCGGGCAAATGTTTAAATACATAATATCCACTTGATGTTGCACTCTGCAACTTCTATCATTTCAGGGGGAGCCAGGGAAACGAGGACCAGTCGGCCTTCATGGCGTTGCAGGACTGCCAGGTGCTAGAGTAAGTGAGCATCAGCAGTAACATGGCGACGTAGGCGTGCAGAGTATACCAGCATTAACGTCTCGTTGGTATGATGAGTAAAACTGGGCAGACATTAACGTATAATATTTGTTTCCATGTTGTTGGGTTGGCATGTGAGCATGATATTGATTCAGCTCAGGATTCTGGGTCGTTATGCTGAAGCAGAGAAGCGATGTCTGCTGTCGAACTGGTGGAAAATATACATAAAATACCAGTTATCGGCCATAAAAGCAATGTTTTAATATTGGACTTCCCTGTTAAAGACACGCACGTAAAAGTAAATGCAAATAAATGTATCTTTTGTTGCAGGGGCAAAATCTCTCTTTGAAAAAAAAAAAACAACTACTAAATACCCTTAAAAAATCAACTCAAACTGTTTTTTTTTTTTTTTTTTTTTTACTTTTCTACTTAATGTTTTAATATCTTTAAAAGGATAGCGGCACAAATTACAATTTTGCTGCACAAACATTTGAGACTAATTTCGTTAGATTTGACGAAGGTGGGGGGGCCAACTTCACTCAGGTGATCATTCCTTCTGTGTCCCATCCTGTGAAACTTTATAGAACTAGAAAACGTGCCTTCCTGTCAGATTAAGGAAGTTTTATAAAGTGCTTGTTGACAGGAAGGGAATCCAAGAAGGGATTTCGTAAGAATTTCTTTGATTTTCTCCCTGAACAAACCCAAAGTCAAATTTAGGTTTCCTTATGGTGTTTAACACATCCAGCTAATCTGTAGTGATCTGTTGGTACAAAGCCCTGCAATTAGTTGGACTGTAGTTGTTGCCAAAACATTCTAGTTGATGTTAAGTAGAATAAAATACTTATATCTTCTTTCAAACAGGGGTCCAAAGGAGATAAAGGCAGCCCAGGACCAAAGGTAGGAAGATTGGATAAAATTATAAATGATTTACGCAGCACAAATCAAATCCTTCAGTCTGATAAATGTAATAAATTTAAATATTGGCACCGCAGGGCGATCCAGGTGCTGACGGGCTCAGTATCATAGGACCGCCCGGGCCTCCCGGACCTCCAGGACCTGCTGTAAACCTGCAGGAAGTAGGCGTTCACACAAACACACCCGGTCTTCTCATTTAAATGAAACGTCACTTAAAATCCAAGATTAAAACTAAATACGTATGACACATTTACAAGGACCAAAGTTCAAATTACATTCTTCTGACAGGATTTTGTGTTTGAATGCAGTCGGTTTAAAAAAAAAAAAAAAAAAAGAAAATGTACTACTTTTGCTGTAATACGTTGATCACATTGTTGGTGAAGTCATTAAAAGACGCTTTGTGTTTTTGAATCATGCATTGTGTCTGCAGCTGCTCCAGAACGCTACAGATGGGATGTTAAACTTCACCGAGCTCAGAGGACCCCCGGGGCCCAGGGTGTGTGTCTCTGGCTACACGTGTAAAAAGTGACAGCGGTTATGCAATTTGATGCATTTTTAAATATAAATACCCAGATGGGTTGTGCAACATGCAAAAATAAAAAATAAAATAAAAATACACCATGTTTTTGCAGCAGCTATAAGCAATGGAAATAATCACTGATTTTATTTTTTTTCTCAGAACTATAAAAGTGTAACCAAACTGCTGCCATTGGTGTTTAGCTTTAATGCTGTGGTTTTGTCAGAGTAGATAAATAACTGAGACTCGCTGCTTTTCCTGTTGGACACGAGTGTGTGTTTGTGTGTGTTTGACTTGCTCCAGGGCCCTGAAGGTTTGCCGGGACAAGCCGGATTTCCAGTAAGTAACTTTTTGCTACTCCGCTGTATGCTGAGCCTGTTGGCCCAACTGACTCCATGGCTCACTGACTGTACCAGTGTCTGTTTGCTACATCAGCAAATCTTTCATTTTCAGTAATCCAGCTGCTTAATTTGATAAGAATTTACTTCATACATTTCCTTTAGGCTACATGCAGTAGAATTTCCAAAATGGCTAACCCGAACAAATGAACCTCCAGTTTTATGGTCGTCCTTCCTGAACCTTCGAATTGAAGACGGTCAATAACAATTTACTGACTTTCTTCCCTTTCCCAGGGCCCTCGAGGACCAAAAGGAGACAGAGGCCCTGAAGGTATTCAGGGAGCCACAGGAGAGAAGGTTAGCAACGAGATTTTACCGCCTAAATGAACAGCAGACACATCCTGACATGTTCTGGGAAATTTGTGTTTTCTCTCACTTCCTTTTTAAGCATCTTACTGACTGTGAAAATCGCCATGATTCAGCCTCCTTCCCTCAGCAATCCACACTGAAGAGTGTTGTTGTCAGTGCAACATCATAGCTCTTTGTTTGTAGGATGTTTGAGTTTCCAGCTGCTGAGCAACACCAAGCTGGAGGAAAATATAACAATTTCTTTGTGGATCAGTCGTAAATATTTTTGAAAATATTGGGATTTTTGTATCATTTTTATTGTTTTTTTTTTGTGCTTTTTATTTGTTTTAACAGGGTGAAAAGGGCGATCCTGGCGTGACAATTGCTGCAGATGGATCTATCTTGTCTGGACCGAGGGGCCCTCGGGGGCCAAAGGGCCCAAAGGTATGTTAAAACAATAACTTAGTAACTTGTTTATGTTCTGTTTAAGACATCGAGAAGAAGCATGTATTTCTATCAGGATTGCTGTCACTTCTGTTGTCATTGAATGCTGGTCATTCTAATAAGCTGATTAAATACATTTAAAGTACAAATGTAAATATTCAAGAAGGAAAGTGAGTCAAACTGACAAGAAAAGCAAGTAAGTTAAGATGGAAACCAGACTGTGATGAAACGTTTATGAATATTAAAATATAAATAACTTTTTGAAAAAATGTCTCATCTATGCCATGTTACAAGGTGTATAAACGTATATAAGTGCAAAAATTAAAGTTTTCATTGTATTTTTTTTTTGTTTGTTTTACTCCATAATTTCATGTTTTATTGTTCTGCTCTGTGGTCTCCCAGGGCGACCGGGGTTTCCCAGGACCCACTGGACCTGTGGTGAGTTTATAATAAGTTTAATATTTTAAAAGTTTACTGGTGTTACACTCCTAAAATGTCAATTTAAGAAGAAGTTGACAATCCTGACACTAAAGCTGTCTAACAGACTGCCTTTCCTTTCAGGGACCGACGGGGCACCCTGGTCAAAAAGGGGAATACGGTTTCCCTGGACGCCCAGTGAGTGGTTTTATACCTGCTGACCGTACAGTGCGGATAGCAAGTGAATAAACGCGGCACTGTGAAAACTACAATCTGCTCCTACGTTTATTTTTAGAGCCAACAGGTAAACGCTGCTGTCTCTTGTTGTAGGGACGACCCGGTATGGTGGGGAGGAAAGGCGACCGAGGAGAATCTGTCAGCCTGCCGGTGAGGAGGAACACTCAGGCAGAGATGAATAATAATGTGTGGTTAACGTAAACTCGGAGCAGTTCAAAGATTTAAGGAGCGACTTACTTTAAAACAAATGCAGAAACAATATTTCTTTTTTTTTTATTTTATTTTTAGGGTCCTCCAGGCCCTCCGGGCCCTCCAGGTCCACCAGGAAGAATTCTGGGTCTAAATGGAGTAAGTATGCAGTGATCATGGCTAATGTGAAAGTTTTATAATTAAAGGAACATGTTACTTGATGCTTTTTTTATTATTATTATTCTATCTGGCTCTTCTTGCATTACGAAGCACAATAAGTATTATAGTATTGTAGCTTTTGTTAAGGAAGAAATTCTAAAATAGTTAACTTTGGTAAAAGTTTGGCTCTCTCTTCCTTTAGATCCCAGGTCCTCTCGGCAGGCCACGTGTAGGCACAAGGAAAACAACAATGCGTGTTGACATCACAGAATTACAGAGTTTAATCCAATATAAGACAATGCATAAACTTACACCAGAAACTGCAGAACAACGGAGACATACATTCATTACCTGACAAATGAAAGAAGGAAAGAAAGAAAAGCAAAGACGTGCAAAGACATCTTTGGAGAGTTGCAAGAGCAAATCTAATTTGTTACTTCTGTGTAGAAAGTTTTATCCTCTTGTATTTAATTTATTCAAATAAGGCGTACCTTTGCTCCTCCAACCAGGAGCTATCTCTGACCTGCTATCTGAAGCCTAAACTCCTGCCGTGTTTACGGCCTTTCACAAATGAATGTGAAAAGCTGGAACTTCCACTGTATTGTTTTCTCACAGACAAAAGGCAATTCAAACGATCCCAGCAAACCATCCGCTGGAACTACAGGTAAAATAAAGGTCAATAGGCCAGAATAAGTCACTGATTTAAAACCACAATTTAGGCCATTTGAATCAAGACATATTAAGTTTTAAAACTAGCTTATTTTAAATTTATTTTCTCAACACTTTACAGCACAAAACAAGTTGCTGACGGGCCTGGTGTGTAAAAGAACTAAATGGTTTATAAGACTTGGTTGTAGTGAGTTTGGAGTTCTGTTTCTTCAATACTGACCACCAGAGGGCGCTGCTGAAAGCACTGAATGTTCCCTTCATGCATCGTTTGAGCAATAATATCTACAGAATCACACCTGTGCCATAATGGATGATCAACCAGAGGCTTTGTCGCATGTCGTCAGCCGAGGCTCTGTTCCTACAGAATCTCCTCGCGAAATGCCAGGATTCTGAGTGACAGGGAATCTCTGGCGGTCATCTTGGATTCATAGAAACGCAGTTACATACATAACTTTCGTTTTACCTCCTTTACCATCTTCCTCGCCGTGTGTAGGACCGATATAAACTTTGAAAGCACTTGGCTTATACAACTGGACCTCATTCCTGCCGTTTCTGGTCAAACTGCTGATTTAAATCTGATTGAGCTGCTCAGCATCAGATAAAACAGGGTGTTAGTGCATGGAAACCCTCCAATCCTTCAAAGATCACTGATTTAACTTCACACAGTGAGAAAAAAAAAACTTTTTTCGGTGACGAAGCAAATACTTTTTTATTACAACAATGTCTAGTTTAGAGAAATAAGATGATAAACTTTACAAAGAAATGTCCCTGATGTTCTGATCAACTCATAAAAAAAGGCAAAGTATGACGTTAAAAGTTCCCACAATTACTTTTATAATGTAGGGAATCTAAGCTGTGCAAATAATTGAGATTTCACAATTACCCCAAAATAAAACGTGTTTTTTTTTCGCCTTCTTTTTCTGTTCTTAAATAAAATGAGATTTTTCTTTCTCTTTAGTGTAAGATTTCAATAAAAAATATTTTTCTACACTTATTTTGCAAGCGTAGTTACCATTCACATGTCTGAGTGTTTAAATACCCGACTGGACAGAAGATGAACGGTATTTAACAATGCAGAGAGTTTAGATGTCTACATTTTTGATTGAAACTCTTAAAGCTTCGTTGAAATGAAACTCTGCTCACACTGCTCTCCTTTGAACCCAAAAGACAGTGTTCCCGGTGCGCCCCAGACCGCACTGCAAACTGGGACGAGTAAGTCTGAGCCGGACCGTCTGAATGGTCCCTTCCTGTTGGAAATGGGACCATCTGGTGGTTCTGGTGGTGTGTGGGTTTTTGTCTGTTTTTTCTTCTTTTTTTTTTTAATAAAGCATGAAACCTCTCTGGTGCCTCCTTCCCTCCTTGTTACCTTCCCCTCCTGTTCTAACGGTGTCTGTTAGAGCCACGTGAATGTGGACGTGGTGTTTTACTTTGCATCAGGCTTTAACATTTGTCTTGCACAGATTCCCTGTAACATGAAAACATTTTTTTTTTTTTTTTAGTCCAAAACGTAACCAGAAAGATCAATTCCTGCATCGCTACAGATGGTTGAGCCGAGTCCAGTCACTAAAGACAAATGTTAATGCGAGGTGTTTGGGGGAGCATGCCGACCGCTACTTAGCTCATCTGCTCTTTTCCTCCTCTAAAGCTCATGGATGAGAAATGCTGAGTGAAGGGAAGGGACATATCTTGTGCTTATGTAAATCAGAGTTGGTTCATCATTTAATCAATCGCTGAAAGAATGAAACCGCATGACATAATAATCTTCTTGGTTGTAAAAGCGATGGAGCTCCATCTCTGATCAACTTACTGTTGGGTAGATAAGTAAGGTTTCTTCCTGGTGTCGGGTTTTTTTGTTTTTAACTGTTTAGCATCTCGGAAAGGAATTCCCAGTGGAATAACATATCCACAAAGCCTGACGAGCAAAACAACACTGTGACTGGATCCCTATGTTGATGATCAAGTGCTGTAGGACGTTGTGTCTCTTTAAAAAAGTAACGTAAAGATAGAGTTACATTTGAAAGGAACGTTTCTGAGAGCAAAGTCTGGTAGTTCATATTCTCTGAGAAAAACCCCGGAGCAGATCTAACTCCAAACCGTTTCTAATTCACCCTGTGCTGTAAAACCTTCGTGCTTTATCCCCTGTGCGTTAACCTCAATAACTGAGCACGTGTCTCTTGGGTTTAATCAGTTTTTTCGCAGGGCTGGCAGCAACGTTATCGACCTTTTTACCCCATTTAATGTCCAGCCGTATGTTTAACCCAAGCACACAACCTGAGCAATGTGTGTGTGTGTGTGTGTGTGTGTGTGTCTGTGTGTGTGTGTGTGTGTGTGTGTAGGAGTTGGCCACAAAGAGAGACTCTGTGGGACTTAAAGGAGACAAAGGCGACGAAGGGATGCCCGGTGAGCCGGGAACGCCCGGTAAGACCCGTCTCATTCTTGCAGCAGCCTCTGAATCTGCATCCCTTCAACTTGTTGCTTTCTTTTTTTTTTTTTTTTTATTCACGGCACACCGCGTTACGACCGCGTTTCCCGCCAGCAACCCCGTCGCCTGATGCGGTAGAGGTGAGCGAAAGCCTCTCTTGCACATCTCCAACTGACACGATCAGATAAAACAGTGGAGGAGAAATCGTCGTTGTCACGTTTTTGACGCGTTCCTGTTCAGAGCGACACGCAAAGAATGTGAGGAAACGAGTTGAGATTCGCTTTAGACGAAGTTTAGCAGCTTAAGGTGATCAGAACGTGGAAGATGAACAACGAGCCCGTTAGCTGCATGTGCTAATCATACGTCACAATCCACTGTTATTATCACATCCACCCAGCAAGGATGTGTAAACAAAACACTTTCAAATAAGCTCATCTTTTATTTCAATAAAAACAAATTAGAAAGTCCAGTGTTTGATTCGAGGATGTTTACTTAAGATGAAATCATTTTAGTTTTGTTTTGTTCAACTGTTTTCTGCCGTTCAGGGAGCTAAAGGCGATCTGGGGGTCAAAGGTGAAAAGGGAGAAAAAGGCGACTCGGGCCTGCCCGGTCCTCCAGGACTTCCAGGGAAATCCGGACTTGTGGTGGGTTCAGCTCGAATCGGAAAACAGATCAAACTTTGGTTCTGTTGTTGTATTTATGGGCCCGATGCCGATGAGTTAAAAAAATGACTAATATCGTCCGATACCAATGTTGATGCCGATGTATCGTGCATCCCTATCAAACCCATTAAAATGTTATAATTAAGTAAGAGAGCGTTGGACAAAAACCCCACACAGCTTTCTTAATGTAATCCATCCTCCTTTGTGTTTGTGCCTTCAGGGTCCAAAGGGGGAGTCTGTTGTAGGTCCCCCAGGTCCGGTTGGTTCTCCTGGTCAACCCGGAGCTCCCGGGCTCGGAAAACCTGGACCCCGAGGCCCGCCTGGCCCTGCTGGGCCCCCGGGACCGGCCCCCGATTATGGATCTGGTAAATGTTTGACACAAAGAGATTCAGGAGGAACTGAGGTGCACGTCTGTAATCATGCTGCATATCTTCTCCTCAGACGTCAGTGTCCCTGGTCCTCCAGGTCCTCCCGGTCCACCAGGATCTCCAGGCTACGCTAACATGGTAAGATGGCTAATCCAAAGCGCTGGAAAGCACCGGAAAGCACCGGCAGTGACGTTGTGACGGTGTGTGGTCAGGTGACGACCTTCAAGACCGTCAAGGCTCTTACCAGAGAGACCCAGAGAGCTGCTGAGGGAACCCTGGCGTACGTGTCCGAGAGAGGAGGAGAGCTGTACATCAGGGCCCGCAACGGGTGGCGCAAAATCCAGGTTTGTACCGCAGATTTACATTCCTCTGAGCTGCCGTCTCAACTGGACACCTGGCATTGGATGGCGTCTGAGAGTTACAGCTGGAAAAATGCCACTGGGTTTTACCCATTACTCACATCAAAAGTCAAATGTGAAACTTTCAGATTTTAATTCTGAAAAAAATGATAAATACCCTGCGTTTTTATTCCCTCCCCAGTCGTCCTCTAATTGGTGTTGGTCTCATAAAATACATTATTTTTTTAAGGTTGTGGCTTTAGTCATTTGTCCTCTGTTCTTTGTTCTATTTATTTTTCGTCTTCTTGTGAGACTGGATGTGCATTTGTGATTTTGCTGAATCAGCTCTATAATCCTCCCATAATATCACAGTAAAAATGACTGTGAACAGCTTCGGTCTGTTCGTGATGACTGGAAACACTTTTCTCATAAAATGATAAACATCCTCACATTTGTTTTTGTTTTTTTTGTTTTTTTTTTAGCTTGGAGAGCTGATTCAAAACGGAGCTTCCTCATCAGAAGCGTCTCAGGCTCTGAGCAGAGCGGGGGATTGGAGCAGACCACAAAGAGTTCACAGCCAGGTTCACACAAACACACACATATACACACACACACTGTTACTTGTTTTTATCCGGAAATTTTGCGCATGCGCACAACACTGGAGGGCAAAAAGACTATTCTTCTACATGCTACCCGTAGCCGCGCTGCTGCGGTAGAACAATTTCTTGAACTAAATTAAATCTGGAGATGTAGATGTTATTAATTTAGTGCAGTGAGTCACAGGAAAGGGACAAACGGCACCAAAGAACCGTTAAAAATACTTCGAAACCACTTTTTTCCTGCTCTCTGTCTCGGATACGCTACACGCAGACTCGTTGCCATAGCAATTGATTCAACACCAAAAAAAAAAAAAAAAACACTCAAATATTTCCCACACAAAGAACATAACATTAAGTTTGTCACAGTGTTATGTTTTTAGGCTTGATGTTTATTTTGCGATTAATAATAAGTGACCGCTGTGGTTGGTTAGCTGTTACTGCTCTACTGATGAAATGTCAGTTTCTTTAGTTTGTAACTGAACCAAAACACACCGAATCACATCTACATGTTCCGGTTGTCGAAATCAAACATGAATAACTGAACTACTTCCATCTCACTCACTATTTCTGTTCTTAATTAAAACGTTTTACTGATCTTGTCATCTAGTTGGCAAAACACTGCGTCCCTTTTTTATATATATATGAGGCGTACATTTAAGGTTTAACGCGTAATATTGACAACTTAACAGATAAAAGCTTTGGTTGTTGTTGTGGAGCAGCTTTCTGCCCTCCAGCAGGGAGGTGGGGGCGGGACCTTGACGTCACGCTGCGTAAACCGCCGGTTTTCGTTGTTTCTGTTGTTCAGGAACTGCAGGACGGCAGCAGGGGATACCAGCCCAGCTACAATATCTTGCCACAGACCATTGAGTCCGTACCTGGAGTGAGTGGAACAAATGCCGCACTGAATCGTCTTCGCCTTTCCCTACCGCTTATGTCGCCTCCTCTTTGCCTCCTTGTCTGAATTTAGCTCCATCTCGTGGCGCTGAATGCTCCGCTCAAAGGCGACATGCGCGGCATTCGTGGGGCAGACTTCCAGTGCTACCAGCAGGCGCGTTCCGTGGGGCTTACCGCCACCTACAGGGCCTTCCTGTCATCACACCTCCAGGACTTGGCGACCATAGTACGGAAAGCTGACCGCAACAACCTGCCGGTGGTTAATCTCAGGGTGAGGAAATGCTCTTCTTAGTCCAGGTTTTTTTTTTTTTTTTTTTTTTGATTTTTTTTTTTTTGTACTATATTTTTTTTAAATGACTGCTATAAATTCATTGTATTTTCAAGTGTATTTTACCCCCACTTCTCTCAGGGGGAAATATTGTTCAGCACTTGGGCCTCCATATTCTCTGAGAATGCGGGCATGTTCAACCCGTTGACACCCATTTATTCTTTCGATGGACGCAACATAATGACCGAGCCAGCATGGTGAGTGGATGTTAGCATATACTGCTAATGGAAAGCCACAGCAGAGAAAATGTGAGGTAGTACATGTGGAAGACTAAAGATATCAATAATCCAGAAGAGTCATTTTTACTACCAACACTTTTTAACTCCAGATTATTAAACTGAAGCATAATAGAGAGAAGAAATGAAGTTTTTCCAAAGCTAAACTTGCATGAAAAACATAGTACGGTCTAAGGATGCGCCGATTTATCGGCCAGTCGATCTGTCGGACCAATTTCTTTCATTTTGTGATTGACGATCAGTCGATACATGTGAAGCCAATCTTATCGACCAATATTATCGACCTCACTAAAGATCTAAAAATCACCCACTGTCCTCTTCTGCTCTCCCGTGTGAAAGGTTCGACTGATAGAACGGCCCACCATGTTAACGTTTGCATTTAACAATAGTCCCCCGGCTGTTACCAAGTCAGCAACTTTTTTGCTATCTTTAGCAACATTTCAGACTAAATTAAATTGGCCAAAATCGGAATCGGCGAGTCAGTCTTTTTAAAAATCGGTAATCTGCGATTGGCCTGAAAAACTGCAATCGGTGCACTGCCAGTATAGTCATTATACCAGTTTATAAGTAGAATTGAATAGATATGGATATAAATTAGTAAGGAATTGATAAGAAATGTAAAAATGCAGGTAACAAACATATGTTCTGCTTAGTGGCACATAAGTGAAGAAATAAACAACAAACTTGGTAAGCAAATTGGTAAGATAGTTTAGACGGGTTAGTAAGCAACTGAACAGATACTGGATGTAGGGCAGGTAAATACATAAGTAAACAAATAAATAAGTTGGGCAAGTAAATAACTGACTTAGTAAATAAGAAAATATAGCAAGTAGGTAATTAATTAAAAAACAGGCAACTTATTAAATAAGTTAAATTTAATAACAAGAGAATAGAGTGATTTTTTCCCCCTTTGAGCTAAGTATGTTTTTTTAGTTTCCACCTTAAAATATAGATTAAAAAAAAATTACACGGTGAATATAATCCGTTCAACTGATGAAAAGTTAAGAGGGAGAGCATTTCAGTTCTGACTGCTGCTGTGTCCCGCTTCTGCCCCCTGCAGGCCGGAGAAGCTGGTGTGGCACGGCTCCAGCACGGTGGGCACCCGCCTGACCGCCAACTACTGCGAGGCGTGGCGGACGGGCGACATGGCGGTGACGGGCCAGGCGGCGCTGCTGCAGACGGGCCGGCTGCTGGGACAACACCCCCGCTCCTGCTCCAACCACTACGTGGTGCTGTGTATAGAGAACACATACGTGGGAAACACACCCCAAAGGAGAACCTGAAGAATCACACACACACACGCACACACACACACACACACACACACACACACACACACACACACATATTAACACACATGCAGGCATGTTGAAAGTGGGAAATATGATTGGGGGGAAAAACACATTTAGGCACATGAAACACACACATAGATACATGTTGTTATTGTTTTGTTTTTGTGTTTAGTTCCCACCTGAAAGGCGGTGTGAGACAGCAGCTCAACATGTCCATCCATATCTAGAGCTCAGTTATTTTTGTAGTCTCTAACAGAGTAAAAAATAAAATAAATATATAATAAAAAATAGGAAAAAAAAAAACATTCTCAGTGTTTGAGGGCTGCCAGCTTTACGTTGTTTCTGGGGCTTCTTTGTTTTCCTGTTCTACAGGCAAACTAGTGGAGAAACGTAGCAGAACTGCTGTAAAATAAACCACAGAGTCACTGGTCTGGTCTGATAAGACAAAGTTTCCTTTTTCCTGTTTTCAAACTAAAGTGAAGTTTCTGACGAGACATGCAGCGATATCGGACAAAAAGAGAATCCTCATGTAGGATGACGACACAGTCATCCTACATTTATAACTCCAAAAGTAAAAAACAAAAAAAAAAAGTCATAAAATATATTGCTTCTCTTGCAGAAGCTTATTCTCAAAAAATAAAAATAAAAAATCAAACCAAAACTTCTACAAAATATGTTTGTTTTTTTTTTCAACATTTTTCCCCCCCAAAAAAATTAGACAAAATTTTTTGAAAAAAGATTTTCTAAAAAAATAAAATAAAATAAAAATTAGAAGATTTTTTCTAAAATATTTTTTTTCTAGAAAAAAATTAGAGCAAATGTTCCACTTCTAAAAAACATTGTCAAAAATTATTTTTTAAGCAAATTTATGTACTGCATCTATTGACATTCTAATGGTAACATAATCATTTTGTGATTACTTAACATTTTCAGATTGACTACTGAAGGGTAATAAGTTTGACCCAGTCCTCTATTCAAAATAAGAAAGACAGCAGAACATCCGATTCGACTATTGATCTTCCCGGAACAAGGAAACGGCTACGATAAAGTGGATGTTCATCTAAATTTGCCAATATCTCTATTAGTTCACCTATTAGAAAATGAAACAGACTGTGATTTTCTTGAATTTATACATTAGTATGTCCTAGTAGGAAAACATAGCTAGCATTCATTCACATGTTGCTGTTTGAAGTTGGAACTTGTACGTGTTTGTTGACATTGTCCAGTTGTTTGTTTCTTGTAATACTGTAGACATCTTTTTCTTTTTTTAAATGAATCACACTAAATGACTGATAATCTCCTCACCACGCTTTGATTGAAATGTTCTGCCTGTAAACTTGACTGTTAGTTGTTCTACTGTCTGTATCTTCTGATGAAACAAAAACTTGACTTTCTTGTACTTACCTTCTGGTGCTCACTAAATAAAGTGTCTGATTTTTTACTTTTTGGTTTTTTTGGGGGGTTTTTTATAAGCAGTGACTCTTTTGTTGAGTAGAAAACTTGCTTCTAAATAAGTTGGAATACAATCGCATAGATCCGTTTGTATGTTGTGGCCCTTAGCAATCTTAATCCATTTTGCATCTTTTTTTTCATCCACATTTTCCTTCCACTCAACTTTCTATTAATATTTGTAGATACAGCACTCTAAACAACAGTCACGTTTTGAGGCTCGTCTTTGAGGGTTATAAGTGAAAAGTCACTGCCATGTCCATTTTTTTGGAGAATGACGCCAAAGCATATTTGGTCACTTTGGATGCTTGAAATTTAGAATTTTGTACTGTGATTTTTTTTGGACAAAGTTTTGAGAAACTTAGAATTTTTTTTCTAACAAATTTCTCAGATTTTTCAAGCAAATATTTTGACCTCTAATTTAGAATTTTCAACTTCTCAAACATTTTGTGTCCAAAAATTTTTTTTCATAGAAAAACTAAGTTTTGTGAAATTCAGAAATTAAGAATAATAAAATTTTCTACTAAAATTTGAGTTTTGTCGAGCAAAGTATTGACTTTCTTGAAAATATGAAAATTTGAAATTAAAAAATTGGCAAAGAGTGTTTGAAAAAAAGTGCAGTTTAAATATAATTCATATAAATAATATTTATTAATAAGAGTGATACTTTATAAAAGCATTAGAGTTGAATGATTGAAACTTTATTTTGTTTCTTTCTGCATCTGTACTTTTTATCTCATTTTTAATGTGTTTTATTTTGATTTTATTCTTTTTAGTTTAATTCTATTTTACTTTATTCTACAGCAAATTTGCAACTTTTCACACTTAAACTTATTTGTTTTCTTCCGAAAAATGTCAGATTTTTTTTCTAGCAAATTTTTGGCTTTGCAAACTTAGAAATTGTGTTTTTCCTTAATAAAAAATGAATTATTTCCCTTTTGTCTTATACTGAAGAATAAGCTGTAAACCACAATTATCAAACACAACTGCAGTAACTATTTAAAAGTATCATTTTGTCTATGATAAATCCATAAACTGAATCCCTCTCACTTTTGAATGGAATTTCTTAAAAGATTTTCCTCGATAAAGGATGTACTTGTAATTCATAAAGCGAAATATGACATTTGTCCACCAGGTGGGGTAAGTCCAAGTTTGGATAGAAAAGCGCATGCGTGTTTTTTTTTCCTTGTTATTCAACAAACATGTCTGCCTCCTGTCTGACGGCACTCAGGGCATCTCTGACAGGTAAAACCTTTTTATCCTTAACTGGTATACATTCAGGACAGACAATATACTTTTTTTTTGTATTAGGACTAGATATTACCAGGGTAACATAATTTATCTTGTATTACTTTCGTAGCTTGTTTGTATTGTTTTTAACTGACTTAATTCCTGTTCCTGCTGTAAACATATTTTTTGCTGAAGAAACCGTGATAATGGATTTAGCGCAGTTAAAAAACTGGATTCGTCTTCCAGCTTTTCACAGAGGTTCCTGCCGGTGGCTCCTCGTGCACGACGCTCGTCTGACCCCGATAGTGTGTCACCGTTTGCGGCTTCATGTCTCCCCCACCGCCGGGCTGTCCAGCTCCAGGATCGAGCCGACACAGAGCTCCGACGCAGCCGACAAGGTTGCAGACAGACTCGGTCAGGAAGAGCCGGAAGGTCCGGAGTATATCCCCAGGAAGAAGGCCAAGAACCCTATGTTGAAGTTAGGATATGCTTGGTGAGCACTTCCTGTTTATACCTCACGTCTTTACTCCACGTAAAGACGTGATTATTTTCCCCAAATATTTTACGGAGAAACGAAGAAATCGCAGTTCATTCATCATTAATAGAACTATTTGTCCATTTTTCTGTGACGTATTAAAAATATGCTAATTCAGCCCACTCTCCTCCCTGTCTGGCCATATGGATAAAAAGCGGGGCAGAGAGAGAAAGATGATGTCACAATAACAAATTTTGCTGGATGGTAAATTGTCCCTGAAGTTATCGAGGTAAACGATAACGATATTTTTGTTTTGAGACAATTTTCTAGTATTATGATGATAATTGCATGGTAAGGCAACAGTACATTACAAAATAAAACAAACATACATTTATTAAATGAATTAAGTCTCTTTGAACAAAATTATCCTTCAAAAAAGGGTTAAAGGGCCAATACACCAGACTGAAGTCAATCAGTTTTTGGTAAAAAGAGAGAGAAAAGAGAAAAACGATAACTCATGCAAATGGAAATTACTAAGCTCGTTTTAATTTATCAAGCAATTGATTTATTGCCAATGGCTGCTGGCCTACTAATCAGCTGCTTCCATTTGAAAAAGCAATACATTGTTGCCACGTTTACACATCATTACAACTGTCTGATATCCCAGATTATCACAGTAGCTTCAATGAGACTTTTGCAATAATGACAATAAAATGAAAAAAAGAAATAAGATTTCAATATTGGTTGATGGCCTAAAATTCTGCTGATTAGTTTGCATCATTTCTTTGATAACATCTAAAATAGCTGCTGTTGCATCGGTTCTACATTGCTTTTTCTGTTCATGCTGTGGATTGCGACCAGTTTTTATTTACAGTAGGAATAGCTTTTGTTTTACAGTCGACACACTATATCTGAAAGTTTGATTTGATCTGCCTGGTAGCTTTAAAGAAACAAGTGGCGGACAGGAAGTAGGTCATTGTACAGAAATGGTCGTTTCTGGCGAATTTGACAATAGGAAACCTCACGGGCTTGACCAAAAATATCTCCCCTCTACTCCAGGATGATCGGACTCCCCGCAGGGATCATCGGCTTCGTTCTGGCCAAGAGACAAGTGGACAAAAACCGCCTGAAGCAGCTGAAGATCAGACAGAGGATGAAACGATCCAACGAGGGTGAATACGACGGGAGCCGATATCGCCAGCACGCCAAGCTGGACCGGTGACGTGTAAATCCCGTCACGCCCCAAGAGACGCGAGGACTTCTGCCTAAAGCCACGTGGAGAAAAACTGATTTCATGAAAAAGCTACATGTAAACAATAAGCACTACCGGGTGTAAACAAAAGGAAACAGTTTATTTCATATGACAATGCAAACGTTATCTTCAGGAGCGATGTGTATTTACACCAACTGTGTGGTCTTTACATGCTGAGTGTTTGACACTGTTGCTTTAATAAAAGGATTACATGCAGCAGCAGCTGGGTGCGGTCGGGAAAAATCAGGAGTTTTTTTTTTTTTTTTTCCCCCCCCTCCAGCTGAAACATTTCACTGGTTGTTTGGGAGGAGACTCCACCCTGCTGGCTCAGGGAGGAGTTCTGACCTGATCTGACTGAGTCACAACAGGACATCTTATATAATGAAGTAGTTTAAGAAAAAAAAAAATTGCCATGGATTTTGCTTATATTCAGATCAGTAAGTTGATGCAAAAAAAAAAAAAAGACAGCAGCTATCTACAGTGAATCTCATGCCAACACACCCCTGTTAAAATGCCGAGTTGTGTGACAGAAAAATATGAGCTGTTATTATTTCGACGTCTTTTTTCCCACCTCTCATGCGACATACCCTGTGAGATTCAACTGGAAAACAAAACGCATTATGAGGAAACTCCAATCTAAGGCTGTATAAACGAAAGAAAAATTAGCCTTTGTTCACAATCCAAAAGAACACTCCCACAGTGAAGCACGGTGGTGGCAGCATTATGTTCTCAGGTTGCTTTTCTTCAGATGGAAATGAGGTTTTTGTTAAGGTGGAATTATGAACAATTCAAACCTTCAGGTTGCCTAGGAAGCTGAAGATGAGGGATCTTTATTTTTTAGCATTTGATGTATCCAGGGCCGGATGTACGAGGGCCCCTAAGGTTTACCTTCCATTAAGAAAAAAAATTAACGCAAATTACAGTATCAATATGAATGTATTAACGGATGCATTGTAAGCTCAATACGACAAAGCCAATAATTAAACATTGTTCCCAAACAAATCGACAACTTATCCAAGATATGAATATTGTTTATACTCATGGAAACCCCACAATATTAATACAAGTCACCTAATTTGGGACAATGAGTTTTATATAATGTATGATGTTTGCAAAACATTCATTCATTTAAAAAATAAATTGGGAGGCGCCCTCAAACTGTAGCCCTGGGCTAGTGCCTCTGTA